CATGGCTCTGTGCCTGGTCTGAAGCGGCCGGAGGCCAGAGGGCTGCTCGGCTCCAGTCTAGAGGTCAACACCAACAGCAGGGACTTTGCCCTCCCCTGTGTGCCCTCATCTGCTCCCCCAGACTCACAGCAGGCCTGCCTTCCTGGCTCACTCATCCCGATGTTTACCACATCAAAGCACTGTGACCCTAGGGGCCTGGCCATGGTGAAGGTCACTTGTCCCAGTGCACCCACCGCTAAGCCAAACCAAGTGTCATCCTGGAAGCTGGGCAGGCATGGGTTGAAATTTAACTATCAGGGCTCAGGGTTTGGGTGAGTTTCTATAATAAGGGGTGGGTCCAACCCACTCCACCGTTTCCCCGATCAAAGTGAGGATAGTAGGGAAAATCACCCTCTCTTGATTGGGCTCCGTGGGGACAGACCCAAGATGCTAAGGACCCCGATGTTGGGCAGGAACCATCCAAAGTCCTCAGGTTTCTTCATCTTGGTCAAGCAAGTGTGGGGGACTCTACGAAGTCATCTGCTAAGGCCTGAGCGACCATGCTCCCAGGTTCCCTGTGCCCAGAGACGTAGGAATAACGCTTGTAAGTAGAGTTTCTTAGAATCCTCGAACTTCCCAAATGCAATTTGATGTGTGGCTAATTTTATGGTGTCTTTCAAAATGGATGACAATCTTGAGCCAGAACACTTAGGTTCAGATTTCTGCTCTATCTCTTTTCTTGTGGGCAACCTTCAGCAAGTCCTTTAACCTCAGATTCTCAGGGTGGTTGGGAGAGCGAGAGGCTTGGAACAAGGCTGGTACCAAGTGCCCCTTCCCCCAAGACAAGCTGTTATGTAACATCCAGCCCTGAAGGATCGAATGAGCTAGTTATTAGATCTCCAAAACCTCTCCAGCAGAGAACATTCTCAGCAAACGTGCGTTAAATAGACCACCGACCAGTTCTGTCCAGAGACAGCCCCGCGTCAGCCTCGTTTTGGCACTGGCATCCTTAATGCTCTCTCAACTTGGACTCATCCTTTCCCCTTCCTGGGTCTCAGAATCTCCCTCTGTCACACAAAGGGCCTGCGTCCAAAGCTGATAAGTTGGCTTCTGGTGTAAATATTCCACACCTTCCAGGACTGGATAGTTGAAAGAGCATGGGCTTCAGAGCCAGTTGCTCCTGGGGCTGGGCATTAGTGACACTTGTCTGCAGTGGGTGCTGGGTGGTTGCTTCACCTCCCTGAACCTCAGTGTCCTCATCTATAAAATGGGGTGACTAAGTGTCCCATAGGGCTGCATAAAGATGAAATGATGTGAGTGGAAAGCCTGGCACACCCCAGGCTCTCAGTGAGCATTATCAGCTCTCTCCAGTTAATCTGTTGGTCCACACCGGCGAACGATGCTGAAATCTCTGTTTTGAAACCACAGGGCAATTTACAGGAGCACTCCAGGCTCCACTTGGGTTCCATTTAGGTCAGAACTCAGGCCTGTGAAGGTGAGGGCAGGCAGCCTGGGGTGTACTGGACCACATGCCCTGGGGCAAACTCAGGCTCAGGCTTTAAGAGGACTTTGGTATTCAGGAGCTGCTGTAGGTCTCCGAGAGCAGGAAACCCAAGGAGTCCTCCAGAACATGACACAGAGATGGAAACCATGTCACTGGATGCACATCAAACCCCCTACCCAGAAAGGGCTGGGATGGAAGCTTGTCCCACCCCTAACCCTGATCCTTTCAGTTACCCCAGACTCAGAGTGCAGTCCCCCAGTCAGCAGCCGCAGCACCACCTGGGAGCTTGCTAGAAATGAGGAACCTCAGGCCCCACCCGACCTACTAGTAAATCTCAAACCATACGGAAGCGCATGCGCTCACATAGAAGGACCCTCCCGCCTGTCTCCCTCCAACCCCAATTCCCAGAGGCAACTGCTAAGGATAGTTTGCAATGCAGCCTCCCGACATGTTCCCCCTGCACATAGAAATCTGTCCACACATACACAAAACTTTCCAAAAGATAAAAAGTACTGCACTGTACGTGCTTATCTGCACCTTGGTTTTCTTTCTTTACTTAACTGTAGCCATCTCCGCAATTGTCTCCTAGTAACCATCCCCTCTTAGTAGTTAGTACAACCACTAAGAGCATCAGACCACTTAGATGGAGTCTTGGCCCCACCACTTCGTGGATGTGTGCCCCTCACAAGTTTCTTAACCTCCCAGAGCCTCAGTTTCCTCGCCTGTAAAAGGTGGGTAATAAGATTACTTATCGCACAGCACTGCTGGAAGCATGAAATGAGGTGATGCGTGGAAAGGCTTGGGCCAGAGCCTGGACTCTTGTGAGAGCTGTCTTTGGCATTGCTAGTATCGCCATGGGTCATCATACGCATGTTCCTGTGTTTAGCCCTGTTGGGGGACATTAGGTGGTGGTCAGTTTTTAGCTCTTACAAACCTTGCTCTCCCACACCTTTGCACACTTGTGTAGGATGGAGTAACAAAGTAACGGTATCAAGTGCCCAGATTGGTTTGTGCTGTAGTTCTCCAACCACAGGGTGCTGTGACTTCAGCATCCACAGTAAATGGGGTCTTTTCTGCCAAACAAGGAAGGCTGGAACTTCTTTCCTCTCTTCACTGTTTTGTTTATTGGGATTTGGCAAAACATTTCATTTGGGACGAAAAAGAAAGGTTGCTACTAAAAATGATTGAGAATCACTGGTGGTGGGGCCCAGAGAGAGTCAGAGTTATAAAATGTTCGGAAAAAATTTTAGGGACCAATCCAATGAAGTGTTCTCTGACCATGTTTCAATGTGTGCGGTAGGTAGCTACCTTTTACCAACAGTGGGCATCTCTTCTGGGGGTGGGGATGGGGGAGCGTCGGGATCTGTTCAACGTTTCCCTCATCCCTCCCTGCGCTGGGCCAATGCTGCACCCACAGGAGGAGCACTGTGAATATTTACTGAAGGGTGGAAAAGAGGGTACTGCTTTACCTGTATTACTTCCCATCAGAGAGCTGCTTTAGTTATGACAAGACTTACTTTGCTGACACCAGCTTCGGCCTGGAGATGCATGGCTGACTTGAGCAAACTTTGGAAACCCACTTAGGATTTAAGCGGCGTCACCTCTTTGCGGGCCGAGATGGGCAGCAACTTTTACTCGGCGGCAGGGCCGGTGTTCACTGCAGATGTTTCATGGTCGGCGGCCCCTTCACCCTACATGAATTTTTGCGAATGTGGCCTAAAGACCCCCACTCTCTGTACCTTGCATCCCTGGGGGCAGGGGTGGGGGCTCAGCTGAGTGCCGGGTTAGAGGGGGGCTGCCTCTGTGGCACTTAGCTGCTCCCGGGTTCCGTCTGTGTTAAGGGTTGTGCAACCGTATTAAATCCCCGATTCCCCTTAGAGGGGATGGACGTGAACATGGTTTGTGAGGGCTGTGCTGTTTGTTAAGTGTCGCTTCCCACCAGACACAACCATGGTTTGTGCAGGTCAGGAGTTTGGGAGAGAACAGACGATGGAAGACCAGACACTCCTGGTACAGATCTGGGTTAAAGCAGAAGGAAGCACAACCAAGGACACCAGACAGAGGTCCAGGCCAGTTACCGGGCTCTGAGTGGGCTGCCATCTCTTCATCGGTCATGAAAAAGAAGCGGAGCCGTGGATGTGCCTGCAGGGCGCTTCAGGCTGCTCTTCCTCTGAGCGCAGCCGGTCATTGCTTTAGGGCACTGGACGGGGGTCTCTGCCCAACTGTAAGGCAGGAGCAGGAGCTAGCGGGCATCCCACAGGCTCTCTCATCTAACCTTGGCCAACCTGCTATCATTATACATTATTATTTTTGTTCTTACAGATGAGGAAACTGAGGGGGGTTGTTCAACAAGGAGAAAGGAAATAACCTGCCCAGTAACTCTAGTGAGTAGGGAGAACTGGGTTATTTGCTCACAAATGTGTCTTTCCCCTACATAATGTTAAAAACTTTAACACAAAATTAATTATCAACACAAACATGGGGAGATGTTGCATGAAAATCTGCGTTTTTATTGTCTCTTGAAAAATCTAAAGGTCCCAAAACAAATGCTGCCATGCTTTCCAGACTGCCACGGTCCCCACCTCTCCTTACTGCCTCCCAGTACCACGGTGCGAGTCAGCTGCCGCATTTACATTACTTGCCTGACTTCGGCAGGCCCCCAGTCTGCACCCCAGGATCCGGCAGGGTGACTGCCAAGGCCTCCATCTCTGGGATTTTGTGAGCACTGGGTCTTTCATGCGGTCGGGTGACTCCTGCCCACATGAACTCAATTGGTAACCTCCCAAATGTGGAAGACAGCACCTCTTAACTATGCCACCCTCCAGGTTCCAACTCTGTGCCCCTCCCTGGCTCGCTCTCAAATCAAGGTATAAGTTATTTTTTTAAATATTTGTATTTATAGGATTTCCTCCAGCAGCATGTCCGCTCTCATTGGGAAAGCAAGACACACGAATCTAAGGTGGAATTTCTTGGGTCACCTTTGGCAGAAGGGTTGAGGGAACAGAGAAAACCCTCAAGGGAACAGAGAAAGCCCTGCCAGGTCTGGGTGGCAGCCCCAACCAACGCGAACCTTGAGAAAAGGGGGCAGGGTGACCATTCTGCTTAATTTTCTTGCGGCCAGAATACTGTCACCTCCTCCTTTTGGGAGACTTTAAAGCATCTGTATCATCCAGTGGGACGGACAGGAAGGGGTCCCAAACTGCTCTGCACTCTGCCTCGCCCACCTGCTTCCCCGGCTCTGGCCTGGACCCACGGGGCGTGGACTTCCTGAGACCACACTGTGACACAGATCAAAACCAAATCAATGCAGGCCAGAAAAATCGGTATCTGGGGATGGTCCAGAGAGGGCATGGAGCAGGGGCCCCTCACAGGTGGGCAGGGTAAGCAGCGGGCTGTCTGGCAGCCCCCTGGCTCCACGCTGGGCAGGCTTTTTTGGGGTCTCTGCCGTCTGCTACTGAGGTTCAGTGAGGCCAGCGCATCGTCAGGGTCTCCTTCTCTCCCTTCTTTCTGTCCCCAGTGCACCCCCTTTGGAAGGGCCCAGCCTCCATGACAGGGGGCTCCCGGCAGTCTCCCATCAACATCCGCTGGAGGGACAGTGTCTACGACGCCGGGCTGCAGCCCCTCCGGGTCTCCTACGATGCTGCGTCCTGCCTCTACGTCTGGAACACCGGCTACCTCTTCCAGGTGGAATTTGACGATGCCACCGAGGGGTCAGGTGAGCCTGAATTGGGATTTAAGGCCTTTCTCTTCTCCTGTCACATCCTAAGAGTAGAATCATGGGCTTAGCAGAGAAGGGGATGAAGGTTTTGCTTAAGTATGAAGTTTGGGGACAGGGAACAGCATTGCGAAGGCAGGAACAGGAAGAATTCGCGAAGGCTCTCTGCACGGACAGAAGTGATGCTTATTTTAAAGATTGTAATGCCAATCACCTACATTCACATGGTTTTACTGGGCACAAAACTATAAACAAAGTTAAGTCCCTTTCTTTGTGGGTTACATTCCAGGAGCTGGGGAGGAAGAAGCCCTAAACTAATAAAATCGCAAAAATATAGCATGTCAGAGGAGATAAGCAGAGAAGGGCAGAGGAGAGGCGTGGCGGTGCTGGGGCCGGGAAGGAGAGGAGGAGGGAAGCTGTGCTGACAATGGGGTGAAGCACCCGGAGCCTGGCCACCTCGCTGGCTCTTGCTCAGAGCAGACACTGACCTGGCTGATGTTTAAATGAAACAACGGCACAGCTGCTATGAGGAAGAGGAGGGGAGGACGGGGGTGGAGTGGGGACCAGCCGGGGGCTGTCTGGGATGATGGTGGTAGAGGGCTGTGGGGCAGCTGGGCAGGGAGGCGGGAGAGGAGCCCCAGCAGCCACTGTCCCTTCCTGGGTCCCAGCGCTCTGGCCGGGCTTTCTGTGAACCCACTCATTTAAAACCCCCTCCAGGATGCTCGGAAGTAAGGGATGGCTACCCCATCAGGTTAGGGATCGTTCCTTCTACTCCTACGATACTTGTCAGGATTGGCTGCTCCATTCCATCTGGTGTTTTTCAGCCCCTCTTGGTATCATCATAAGCTTTGTTTATGACAAACATGTTTCCTTCCTGGGAGTGGAGAATGTCAGGCAGAGGGTGCCCACGTGACAAGCCCCCAGTGAAAACCTTGGGCACCAAGTCTCCTATGGGCGTCCCCGGTGGACAACATTTCATGTGTGTTGTCACAGCTCATTGCTGGGGGGTCAGCGCGTCCCTGTGACTCCACCAGAGAGGACCCTGGAAGCTGGCACCTGGTCTCCGCCAGACATCCCCTGTGCACCTTTGCCCTTTGCCGATTTTGCTTGGAGCCTCTCTCTGTAATAAACCTTAGCCGTGTGTACGACTATGTGCTGAGTCCTGGGAGACCCCTAGAGAATCATGGAACCTGGGGACCCCTGACACAGCCCCCAGCCCCCATCCTTTCTGGGCTGGCCCTTGGCCCACCTCCTTCCACATGCTTGGTTATATTGCTCACTCACCTGTTGCCCTGGCAGGGAAGTGAGCTCCATGAGGGCACCCCGAATGGTGTGTGCTGTGTGCTGCTAGCCACCTTGGCGCCCAGGGGGGAGGGGACTGGATGCCCAGCGAGCAAAGTCGGGCCTCACCTGTTTTACCTGTGATGGACTGATGGCTACAGCAGGGGACAGAGAGTACTTCCCCCGCGCAGGCCCAGTGAAGAGCTTCACACACACCGTGGCTCAGCCTTCCCGGGTCTCTCCTCATCTCCCAGGTGAAAAGCAGCTTGTGTTTCCTGAGAGACACCCACATGCCTGGAGCTGCTCTCGGTTCTTGATCAGTCTTCGCAGTAACCTCAGGGACACTTCTCAGGTAGAACTCCCCAAATGCAAGGGACCAGANAGGTCTGGGTGGCAGCCCCAACCAACGCGAACCTTGAGAAAAGGGGGCAGGGTGACCATTCTGCTTAATTTTCTTGCGGCCAGAATACTGTCACCTCCTCCTTTTGGGAGACTTTGAAGCATCTGTATCATCCAGTGGGATGGACAGGAAGGGGTCCCAAACTGCTCTGCACTCTGCCTCGCCCACCTGCTTCCCTGGCTCTGGCCTGGACCCACGGGGCGTGGACTTCCTGAGACCACACTGTGACACAGATCAAAACCAAATCAATGCAGGCCAGAAAAATCGGTATCTGGGGATGGTCCAGAGAGGGCATGGAGCAGGGGCCCCTCACAGGTGGGCAGGGTAAGCAGCGGGCTGTCTGGCAGCCCCCTGGCTCCACGCTGGGCAGGCTTTTTTGGGGTCTCTGCCGTCTGCTACTGAGGTTCAGTGAGGCCAGCGCATCGTCAGGGTCTCCTTCTCTCCCTTCTTTCTGTCCCCAGTGCACCCCCTTTGGAAGGGCCCAGCCTCCATGACAGGGGGCTCCCGGCAGTCTCCCATCAACATCCGCTGGAGGGACAGTGTCTACGACGCCGGGCTGCAGCCCCTCCGGGTCTCCTACGATGCTGCGTCCTGCCTCTACGTCTGGAACACCGGCTACCTCTTCCAGGTGGAGTTTGACGATGCCACCGAGGGGTCAGGTGAGCCTGAATTGGGATTTAAGGCCTTTCTCTTCTCCTGTCACATCCTAAGAGTAGAATCATGGGCTTAGCAGAGAAGGGGATGAAGGTTTTGCTTAAGTATGAAGTTTGGGGACAGGGAACAGCATTGCGAAGGCAGGAACAGGAAGAATTCGCGAAGGCTCTCTGCACGGACAGAAGTGATGCTTATTTTAAAGATTGTAATGCCAATCACCTACATTCACATGGTTTTACTGGGCACAAAACTATAAACAAAGTTAAGTCCCTTTCTTTGTGGGTTACATTCCAGGAGCTGGGGAGGAAGAAGCCCTAAACTAATAAAATCGCAAAAATATAGCATGTCAGAGGAGATAAGCAGAGAAGGGCAGAGGAGAGGCGTGGAGGTGCTGGGGCCTGGAAGGAGAGGAGGAGGGAAGCTGTGCTGACAATGGGGTGAAGCACCCGGAGCCTGGCCACCTCGCTGGCTCTTGCTCAGAGCAGACACTGACCTGGCTGATGTTTAAATGAAACAACGGCACAGCTGCTATGAGGAAGAGGAGGGGAGGACGGGGGTGGAGTGGGGACCAGCCGGGGGCTGTCTGGGATGATGGTGGTAGAGGGCTGTGGGGCAGCTGGGCAGGGAGGCGGGAGAGGAGCCCCAGCAGCCACTGTCCCTTCCTGGGTCCCAGCGCTCTGGCCGGGCTTTCTGTGAACCCACTCATTTAAAACCCCCTCCAGGATGCTCGGAAGTAAGGGATGGCTACCCCATCAGGTTAGGGATCGTTCCTTCTACTCCTACGATACTTGTCAGGATTGGCTGCTCCATCCCATCTGGTGTTTTTCAGCCCCTCTTGGTATCATCATAAGCTTTGTTTATGACAAACATGTTTCCTTCCTGGGAGTGGAGAATGTCAGGCAGAGGGTGCCCACGTGACAAGCCCCCAGTGAAAACCTTGGGCACCAAGTCTCCTATGGGCGTCCCCGGTGGACAACATTTCATGTGTGTTGTCACAGCTCATTGCTGGGGGGTCAGCGCGTCCCTGTGACTCCACCAGAGAGGACCCTGGAAGCTGGCACCTGGTCTCCGCCAGACATCCCCTGTGCACCTTTGCCCTTTGCCGATTTTGCTTGGAGCCTCTCTCTGTAATAAACCTTAGCCGTGTGTACGACTATGTGCTGAGTCCTGGGAGACCCCTAGAGAATCATGGAACCTGGGGACCCCTGACACAGCCCCCAGCCCCCATCCTTTCTGGGCTGGCCCTTGGCCCACCTCCTTCCACATGCTTGGTTATATTGCTCACTCACCTGTTGCCCTGGCAGGGAAGTGAGCTCCATGAGGGCACCCCGAATGGTGTGTGCTGTGTGCTGCTAGCCACCTTGGCGCCCAGGGGGGAGGGGACTGGATGCCCAGCGAGCAAAGTCGGGCCTCACCTGTTTTACCTGTGATGGACTGATGGCTACAGCAGGGGACAGAGAGTACTTCCCCCGCGCAGGCCCAGTGAAGAGCTTCACACACACCGTGGCTCAGCCTTCCCGGGTCTCTCCTCATCTCCCAGGTGAAAAGCAGCTTGTGTTTCCTGAGAGACACCCACATGCCTGGAGCTGCTCTCGGTTCTTGATCAGTCTTCGCAGTAACCTCAGGGACACTTCTCAGGTAGAACTCCCCAAATGCAAGGGACCAGAACCCCAACCCTGGCCAACATAAGCAAACAGGAACTTCTTGGGAGGCTAAGCCTAGCTTGAAGAAGTGAAGGGGAAGCCCAGATCTTAGAAAGCAAAGAACTAGGCCAGCTCAGGGCTCTGGGGAGCAGGGTTATGCATTTATTTACTTAGCGCACCAACTTTTTTCCTGCCCGTGTTGGTATGTTCCAAGTTCAAATTCCCAAGGAGCAACTAAAATAGGCTTTTCAGGAATATGGTTTGTATTATTTTTAAACATTTTATGCAGCGACTTTAAAAGATTAAAGAAATAAGAATAATAGTTCCTGAACTTTTGCTTTGTTAATAGTTGTGTGAATACATATTCTAATAAGATTGAGAAAAACAGATATGGATGTAGTCGAGTTCATAACCCTGTATAATTGTTATGTGTAGCCATGGGTTTTGCTGAATCTATGGAACAGATTTATTTTCCTTTATGTTTTAAAATATGAAAGGTGAAGGTTGCTTTGGACTTTTGTAGTAGTGTTAAACACATTTGGCGAAATAATTCAGATTCCCAGGCGAAAAGGTCTGATGGCTGAGCTTGGTATTCACCCAGCCCTTGGTCAGCGGGGGACCCAGCACCCTGACCCATATCCTCACCAAGACCACATGCTCAGGGAAGAGGGGGAAATCGAGGTGCTCTTTCTAGAAGGGGGAAGGTATGTGTACTGGAAGCAAACACCCTCTTTAAAAAGCACCACCATAATAGCCCACAAAACAGACACCCCTGTGGAAAGTATTGGGCCTCCTTCTGTGCAAGAAGAAGCGGAGACTCAGAGGGGAAGCGGCCCACTCAAGATCGGGTGGCGGGGAAGTGAGTCAGGTTCAAGGCCAAGTCCCGCTGATTCTAAAGCCCCCACCAGTCATTTACTGCTCCCTTCTCCTTGTCAAGGGCTTCACTCGCACAAACTTAAATATTCCTTGTAACGACCATGTGAGGCGCATATTATTTCCCATTTGACAGATGAGAAAAATGA